TAGTGGCATCCCAACTGTCAGCAGTGGCATTATCTATACACCAAACCTGCTTCATTAAGATAAAGTTGCTTTGGTGCTAAGTGTCCTGTGGCGAAACCAACCTCGCCACTGTGAACTGGAGAAGCCTGGTTGCTCGCCTGCTCCCTTTGGACTATGGCCCTGCAGGTTAAACCGTTTATTTCCCCTGCAGAAAGGCTTATTTGTGTGATCTGAGTGCCATTCATCTAATAATGTGCGCTCAGACCTGAGCTATCTGGGGATATGTGAAATGTCAGTGTTTTATGTATAAATGTGACTTTATGTATTTTAAAGTGTTTTGTGTCTTTTTGCAACCATGTGCTTAATGGAGTCTTGTGTCTATCCTGGGAGATAATTGAATTACTCTCCAGGATAGAAGACTCTGAAACTGGTTTGGGCCAGAAAGCCATGCTTCATTTAGTCACAAAGGACTTTCCCTTAACTTTTGAACCCCTGGCCTGATTCGTGCCATTTTTTAATATGTTGTTCCCCTGAATGGATGGATTATGAAAATGTATGTTTTATGTTTGTGACATGTATAGTTTAGAAGTTATAAATATTGTGTAAAAACTGTATTCCTCTGCCGGTGATAATGAGATTACCCATTGTGTTCAGTAATCATATCACCTGCAGAGGGGAGGATTTTGTGTGGGAGTGTCTGGGTGTATTGTACGGATTGATTGGTTGTTTTGTAACGCCCTGTGGGCTGTATTATGTTTGTGGATTGGGAATAAAAGAGACTGTATGTGACAGTACAGGGAGTTCTATTTTTACCCTCAACTTGAGTCCTGTCTCTTATTGGGGGAATCTGCTACAAGGGATTGCTATGCTAGGCATATTCCCTTGCTATAATCACTGAGCTCTTGTAAGAGCTTGTTCCTGCTTCGTTCTGAAGGGAGATAACTGCAGCCTGCGGTGCTTATGGTGTCTGGTGGAGTGCTTGGAGTCCTCTGGAAGCGCTAGGAGCATCTTTCAACGGAGGTACCCAGTCGGGGTGCCAGGTGATCCGTTACATTGGTGGCAAGCGGTGGGATGGCGTCCTAGTGCGAGGTAAAGCAGCTTGGAGACACAGTTCGTGGATTTACAAATTGAGGGCAACGCTAGTACCCGTACAGCGACCCTATCTACAAAAGAACTAACTTCAGCAGCGCAAGCATGGCACCCAGCTACACTCAGGAGCAGTATGACAGAGAGTTTACCATGCGGCTGGCTTTCTTTGGACCCAACCCCCCGGAGAAATACGTGCAGCTCGTAAGGAGCCAGGTAGACGAGTACATGCAGTTCATGGCAGATCCAGCCAAAGGTATCGGCCGCCCTATCCGGTGGCAGAGTGCATTACGGGGACTCAAAGGTGTACCCCAGGGAGCTGAAGGTGTCGTCCTTCCTCCCCAGCGGCAGAGTAAGTCCCAGGGATCTGAAGGTGCAGTCCTTCCTCCCCAGCGGACGTGTGTATCCCAGGGAGCTGAAGGTGCAGTCCTTCCTCCCCATCGGCAGTGTGTATCCCAGGGAGCTGAAGGTGCAGTCCTTCCTCCCCAGCGGCAGTGTGTATCCCAGGGAGCTGAAGGTGCAGTCCTTCCTCCCCAGCTGCAGTGTGTATCCCAGGGAGCTGAAGGTGCAGTCCTTCCTCCCCAGCGGCAGTGTGTATCCCAGGGAGCTGAAGGTGCAGTCCTTCCTCCCCAGCGGCAGTGTGTGTCCCAGGGAGCTGAAGGTACAATACTTCCTCCCCAGTGGCAGTGTGTAACCCAGGGAGCTGAAGGTGCCGTCCTTCCTCCCCAGCGGCAGTGTGTACCCCAGGGAGCTGAAGGTGCCGTCCTTCCTCCCCAGCAGCAGTGTGTACCCCAGGGAGCTGAAGGTGCCGTCCTTCCTCCCCAGCGGCAGTGTATATCCCAGGGAGCTGAAGGTGCAGTCCTTCCTCCCCAGCAGCAGTGTGTACCCCAGGGAGCTGAAGGTGCCGTCCTTCCTCCCCAGCGGCAGTGTGTATCCCAGGGAGCTGAAGGTGCAGTCCTTCCTCCCCAGCGGCAGTGTGTATCCCAGGGAGCTGAAGGTGCAGTCCTTCCTCCCCAGCGGTGTGTATCCCAGGGAGCTGAAGGTGCAGTCCTTTCCCCAGCAGGTACTAGGGGCTGAAGGTGCAGTTCTTCCTCCCCAGCGGCAGAATGTGTACCCCAGGGGAGCTGAAGGTGCATGTGACGAGACCAATCTCGCCACATTGCATTGGAGAAGCCTGGTTGCTCGCCTGCTGCCTCTGGACTATGGCCCCCCTGTTAAAAGACATCAAAAGCTTCATTCGTGCTTTTCTGCCTGGGGTTCGGTAGATTTGTTTGAATGTGTTATACCCCAGATAGGAATCCCATGGAGCCCATTCGTATGAAACTGACTGTAAAGACTTTGGCTCCATGGCGATTAAACTGTATTCGTGTGGTCTGAGCGCCATTCACTTAATAATGTGCGCTCAGACCTGAGCTATCTGGGGATATGTTACATGTCTGTGTTTTATGTAATAAATGTGACTTTATGTATTTTAAAGTGTTTTGTGTCTTTTTGAAACCATGTGCTTAATGGAGTCTTGTGTCTGTCCTGGGAAATAATTGAATTACTTATCTCCAGGATAGAAGACTCTGAAACTGGTTTGGGCCAGAAAGCCATGCTTCATTTAGTCACAAAGGACTTTTTACTAACTTTTGAACCCCTTGTCTGATTTGTGCCATTTTTGAATATGTTGTTCCCCTGAATGGATTGATTGAGAATATGTAATTTTATGTGAATGTGATGTATGGTTTTGGAGTTATGAAAGTCCTTCCTCCCCAGCGGCAGAGTGTCCTGCAGGGAGCAGAGACCGTCAGTCTCGCACCCCAACCACAGGACAAAATAATGAAAGGGGAGACAGCCCCTCTCCACCAGCAGAGAGAGTGTCAGGGAGAGGAGCCTGATACCCCTTCTCCCCAGCGGCAGTTTACAGTTCAGAGAGAGGAGCTTGTTACACCCTCTCTCCAGCGGCAGCCTAACCCAGCAAGGGGAGATGTTACACCCCCCAACAGTGCAGATGGGACTGTAGTCTCTGCACTTACAGCACAAGGGATAGGGACAGTCGGTCCTGTTCCCCAGCCACAGAGCGGTGTATCCAGAGGGGAGACAGTCGGTCTCTCCCTCCCACAACCAGGCTCCCACCAGGCTACTTCCGTGGTAGCACTGGCATCAGGGCAGAGTACCGCTGGTCTCTGCCCACTCAGCAACCCACCAAGGCAGCCTAACAGTTGCCCACACAGTCGTGGTGAGGCACCTGGACATGGACAAAGTTCTCCTCTACCCAGGTGTAGTAACCAGTTATTGTGGGTGGGCTGTACTGCTGTTTCTGTTTTGTGGGTGGGTTGCTGGACTAACCAGGGCACTGACCGGCAGGAGGTCAGATACCCTGTTAGTCTAGTTGGTAAAGGGGAGAAGTGTGGCGAAACCAACCTCGCCACTGTGAACTGGAGAAGCCTGGTTGCTCGCCTGCTCCCTTTGGACTATGGCCCTGCAGGTTAAACCGTTTATTTCCCCTGCAGAAAGGCTTATTTGTGTGATCTGAGTGCCATTCATCTAATAATGTGCACTCAGATCCCAGCTATCTGGGGATATGTGAAATGTCTGTGTGTTATGTGTAAATGTGACTTTATGTATTTTAAAGTGTTTTGTGTCTTTTTGCAACCATGTGCTTAATTGAGTCTTGTGTCTATCCTGGGAGATAATTTAATTACTCTCCAGGATAGAAGAAGAAGATAGAATGAGATTACCCATTGTGTTCAGTAATCATATCACCTGCAGAGGGGAGGATTTTGTGTGGGAGTGTCTGGGTGTATTGTATGGATTGATTGGTTGTTTTGTAACGCCCTGTGGGCTGTATTATGTTTGTGGATTGGGAATAAAAGAGACTGTACAGGGAGTTCCTGTTTAACCCTCAAAGTGAAGTGTCGTCTCATTATTGGGGGAAGGATTTATTGTATGCTGTTCCAGTTTGACTGCTAGGAGAGTAAACCTATTCGTATGGTTCCTATTCAACTGTCTACAGCATTCATATGCTTGAGAGGATTCATATGCTTCTCCGGTTCGGTGGTTGTGGTGTCTGCTGCAGTGCTTGGAGACCTCAGGAAGCACTAGGAGCATCCTTTAACGGAGGTACCCAGTCGGGGTGCCAGGCGATCCGTTACATGTCCCTTTAAGGAGAGATTTCAATAGGAGACCGTTATGAAACCCAACGTTATTCAAACTTCACATGCAGACAGAGAAACGTTTTTCTGCGATTCCCGCCACTATCTCTAGATATGAATAAATAAAATAGTGTTTGAATAAAGATAATGAGGGTATCGCTGGGGGTCTTTTGGTGTGCACTTTTACTAGGGTCTGACATTCACTGGTAGTTAGGTAGTTAAGCAATGTGAGTGTTTTATTTGATTCACATATTTCTTATAAAAGATCATAGATAATTATTAATATTTTTTTCGTTTTTTACCAATATCTTGTATAATGTATGTTAATATAGCTTCCACCAGTGCAATCTAGGAGAATCATTTGATTGAACCCTGCCCAGGATGAATCTAGGAGTTAGCGCTGGACAAAAAGGGGGCGGTTCAGCTTAGATACTGAATTTGCAAAGAGGTCAGATTTTAGGGATTTAGCGAAAAAAAATGTAAATATTAGATAAATGCATTTTTTTAAAATCGCTTTGTGCATTAAAATATGCATTTTTCACCTAGACTTTCCCACTTGTATAGATAGTACGATGTCACTGGAACCATGCAATTTACGATCACTACAGATACTGCCATACATTAAAAAACTCTCATATAAAACTGACTTCTATAGGAAAATGCAAACCGGGTAACCAGCAAAACATACTCCAGTACTTCGGAAACCACCAATACCTGATGACCTATAGGCCTTGACAAAGGACCTCTCTCCAAGTTGATAGCTATGTAATCGTATTTAAGGGCCAGTATTGACACCATAATCACTGCATAACACTTGAGGGGTTACGGTGCCAGTTGTCCTTTGGCGTCATCCCCCGGGTTATGATTTCTTTGGGAGATTTGATTTCATGAAATTTGATTTGTGGCTCGTTCAAGTCATTCTCAGGCTAGTCCCTAGACGTGTTTTACAATCAAATGTTCCACAAAGCAGAAAAGAATTGTAATAACAAAAGTGTGGTATAGCAGAGCGCAAGTCCTAGCAGGCCCTCTCCTCCGCTGGTTACTCCAATATGCGCTCAGAAACAAATAGAATACTCCAAGGGAACAGCCAAACACAGCAAAGTAATCCAAGAATCTCCCACCACCTCCCCAGCAACTGGAAGACACTCAGCTCTGGGGGTATAACTGATATTAATGGAGTCACATATATGAGAATTCCCATGCAAGCGGTTCCAAACACATATTCCAGGGGCATTCCCCACTGGACCTAGGACAAAGTACCCAACATAATTTCATGAACTCTCAGGTCCAAAACATACAGTTCCCCACCAGATACCCCACCGTAAGTCCTATATCCCTGGATAGCCTGGGTCTGAGCGCCCAATATATCCGAAAAGAGCTCAGATCCCACGAACGCATCCGGAGTATAGTTTAGACTGACTGTGCATGAGATGCCTTCCCAAAAACGTTCCATGAAAGTAGGCTGTGCAGCCTGTCTCTTTCGGGAGTATCAAATAGACGAAAAACAAGACATGAACTGTTCGTGCATACATTATTGCTGTGTATATTGTTCGGAAGTTTGCTTCCCCTCGAATGCTGCTCTGTTAGTCTGAATCTCCACAAACATAATGGAGGATGGAAGTCCCAACTGTGTTTGTGCCGTCGAGTGTCTGATTTTAGTTCCATGCACTCAACGACCAAACACCGCTGTCTCCGTTCGCGACTAAAGGTGGCTGCTGCCACGTGTTCGTACATACGAACGGTGGCCACCCAGCAGACCGCTTGGAACATTCAGGTTATTGCGGTTGATAGAGGTGTGAACAGAGATTACTGAGGTTA